GACGACAATCAAAATGTGGACGGAAAACCAGCCGGAAAAATCCGCACGGTCATACCCCCCGATAAGATTTCAAAAAAAAAATAAACAAAAGTGCGAACCACAACAAGACAAACAGGATCGCAAACCCGAACAACCAAAAACAAAAAGAGCCGACACGACGTACACTCAGAGTTAAATTGAGGTTAACAAACAATGCGACCTGGAACAACAATGCACTGAAAAGACTACCCGCAACGAGGTACCGTCGACGATGACGAGCCACACCCAACAATCCAAAGCCAGCCATGAGATGATAACGGCAACCGTGGTGGCCACAGTGGACGAGGAAACTGAAGCAGAAAAGGAGGAAGACACACCCCTGAAAAGATAAAAGCTACAAAAAGTGATCGAAATCAGTTTAATAGCAGCAGCCACTCGCAAAGACCGCAACATAAAGCCAATCGTGCACTTTGTACAAAACAGAGATTGAGAGGCGCTGAGGTGCGCTTAAAGAGACTACTTGTTCAATATCTCAAAACGCCTCCTAATCAAAAAAGATTGTCTTCTAAGGGAAGAGCAGATCAAAAAATCACATCAATTACGACAAACCATACTAGAAAGCCTACACCTGACACACCCAGGAGTTAAACCAATGCTAGATCTTCGTTTGTGAAAACGTTTGGTTTTCCCGCATTCATTGATCCCTTGTAAAAATTGCAGGAAACCGTCAACACTGCACAGAACAAGGTAAAAATTTAAAAACATCCTTAAAAAAATCAATGTCATACCAAATGGAACTAGTAGTCAAATCAAATGAAGAGATCCAAGTAAATTTTGCCGAGATTTCAATATACATATTAAATACGGATGCATACATTTTAGTTGTTGTGGACAAATGGTCACAATTCCCAATGGCAAAGGTTGTCAGAAATACAATCGCGGATTTAATCAAAAAAATTATGCAAAGATAATTTTCAAATAGTGAGGTACCATGCCCAAAGTTTGGAGCTTAAAAGGTTCTCAGTTTTTTGCGAAACAAAAAACTAAAATTTTATTCGCTCCAGCAGACAGTCACAGATCAACAGGGCAGTCAAACGCACGATACCAACTTTAAAATTAGTAAGCTTAATCTATGAGAAATGCTGCGAGTAAGGCTAGGAGTGATGCAAATAGATGGTAACAACAACCGATTTAAACTCGCATCCGACGTCGCCAAAGTTATATAAACACTAAGAACAAACCCAGGTAGAGTAAAAAAAATCTGCCCAATCGCAATCGCCATGGGACCAAAACCAAACGCATCATTGCCTGACGTAGCAACAACCAGTTTATCAAACAATTCAAAGTGGGAAAACGCGTAATTTGTTTGAAAAAGCCTTATTGACACTGCACTCCCTCCAATTCTGATGCACGACCTACAATGCTGGTCAGGAATGAAGTGAAGAAAAAAGACTAATGCAGCAATTAACCGAACAAACGAATACGACCCAATGGGAGAAGGTAAAGTTAACCACACAACTACAGAGCATTACAGTTGTGAGAATCAGATTTTTACTAGCTAAGAGAAGAGGATTCTAACAACAAGATACAAAGGAACACAATTACAAGTGAACACAAACACCAAGAATCTTATTGAACAAACTGCTATACAAAACGGTGAGACTCATCACAAAAGTAAAAGAACCAAAAACATTAGGACAAAAGCACAAAAGCACAAAACAACAGACGAAAAAGTACAAATATACACTCCACAGACGGATTGAGTCCAAACACGAGGTAAACAAACTGGACTATTGAGGAACAGCGGATTTGCGTTTGTCCCCATCAAAAAAAACTACGGTCCCTCACGCCTGCAGACCGCAAACTTACAACTTACAAACTTAAATTACAAATCTGCAAGAAGAACAGTTAAATTATTTCACTTTTTAGACGTAGAGTAACTCAACGCACCTCAACAACTGATGTTTACTGAGGACAAGAAGACAGGACTCCCACGGAAACTAACACGCAAGATTCAAAAACGGAATCTCCGAAGAAATGGAACGTAAAACCGGCACAGATCGGAAAACGAACTGGTTGAATGCCATCAGGGGCATGACAATTAACCCAGACGGAAACAGCCAGCACCCAGAAAAGAAAGTCACAGAAGAGACAACAACATCATCAAACCACAACTTTTCGTCAACGACATCAGATTACGGCTCCATCTAGAAAATTGGTTTTAAAACGACAACTCCTGACGTAACCACCAAACCAACAGGAAATTCCCCACGGACGAGACAATAAACAGTAAAAAGCGCTAGAAAACCTAATACCAATCAACACTAAGGATGCGCCGAAAAAAATTCATTAGCTTCAACAGAACAACAGCAACCACCACAGCCCAGCAACAATTCCAACATAAAAAGCCTAGTAAATGAGATGGGATTTAACGAAGATTCCCCGGAATTCATTGCCTGCGTAAAACTCTTAGAGACAATCAAACCAAAGAAACAGAGCAAAAACCTCAACAATCAACCTTGTGTCACCAATAGAGAGCCTATGAAGAAAAAAATATTATATGTCACGTTACAGAAGAAGACAACGATACCAACAAGAAAGATCAGAAAGAAAAAATTCAAGAGGATGTGAACACGACGGAAGAACCCAAAAAACAAAAGGAAGAGGAGGATTCAGCAGCAAAAGAGAAGCAGCAGAAGTTGGAGACCGAAGTAGGAAAAGAAACGGCATCGAGGAAGCAGAAACAAAACTTAAAAAAGGAGAAACAAAACTTAAAAAAGGGGGAATGTCATCAGGCCGCATTGGCACAAACTCACTACGTATTTATGTTTTTATATAAAGTTATATTTATACGTGACAATTGCTGGCCAGATGGTTTGGACTGATACGGCTAAATTGTATCAGAGAAGATGAATTTTCAGAGCTTAGTAAAGTTCAGTTGTCTTTACCGTTCAGTTGTCTTTTCAGTCTCATCAAGATTAACTGAGTTCGTTTACCGATCCATTCGAAGTCCATTACATTAACTCATACGTAACAATATGACAGTTCGTTTGCATTGCAATTCTGCTCTTTCTCAAAATTATTTTTTAACTTTTTGAAAAAACCGTTACTTGGTTTTGGCGAGACCTACAAAAATCTTCTTCGCTGAAAAATTTACAGAAGTCCACAACCTAATCGAGTGCTTATAATAGAAGATAGCAAGTTTGCTGTAGCAACGCATCGTATGATAGTGTCTCTCCCACTGATTCACTTTGATAAGGCCTTGTACACCTCGATCTGGGCAATTTCTTCTGGGGCTAAACGATTTTAGATTTTTTTTCGATGATTCGTTTCTATTGTTGCTCTAGCTCGCATCAACCAAGCAGTGATTTTTAATAGTAAGATTGGCTCAGCTCTTTCTAGATCCAACGCGGTTATGCAATCCAACTTCCAGCATCATCGTTGAAATAGCGATAAATCATAACTGAACTACAAAAACACGTTATTAAATATTACTTTATCAAAGAGAGGATTCAATCTGAATTTAATGTCCAGTTTGGCCTTTCATCAAACTACATTACGAAATTGTATCTAATTTAGTACTTGCTTGAACTACAGTAAAACTCAAACTTAGCAGCCTTTCTTAGTTAAATCTGTCTAATGGGAAAAAAACAAAACTAAAATTGAATGAAACGACACAAACAAAAATTAACTAACAATTTTAAGTGAACAATACTTAGTTCGGGCCAAATTTTTGAATTTGGTGAAAGCCCCTTAAATGTAGTTTTTGGTGAAAAATTACGACAAAAGCTTCAAATTTTTATCATTGTTTTTGAAACTTAAGTTTTTGCACGAAACTTGCAATGATTTCACAAGACAAGGTACTAAATAGAACTCATTCAAGCCAAGAGTCATCACACTGGAATCATTTTAACTTCAAGCTCACCCGCAATCTGTGTTCAAATTGAACAAAAAACTTATACCACAAACAATTATCTTTACTTCTTCTGAATAGTACAAGAGCTAATTCAACACTCTTATGCGCCACCGCATAATTGCACTTTTTGATTGAAACTTGCAATGAAATTACAAGACAAGGTAGAAATTTGAACTAATTCAAACTGAAATAATCAGAATGCAATCATTTTTATTTCAATCTCAAGCCATCAAAATTTTCAGATGATATATTATGTTCTATGTTCAAATTGAACTGGAAACTTAAAAAACATACATTTATTTTTACTTTCTCTCAAAAGAACAAGAGCTAATTGAACACTTCTATGCTCCATCGCATTTACACTTCAGTTCAGTCTCTTTCATTGCGCTCCCAATTCATTGTTCCGATTTTCGAAGAAAACGGAATATTTGTTTGCTTTAGTTGCTTTCCATCTTTTGCAACAACTTTCTGTGGCAGATTGTTCTAGATTTAAAAACTCAGAAGTGAGCACTCTGCAATTTTTTCTTTTATTGGAAGCTTTTTATAAAGAAACTGAGCACTTAGCCAAAATGATCACGACTGTTTTGCAGAGATTTGTCTATAGCTTTAAAACTGAGTATAAACAACTAAAAACACAACGCTCTGTTTCCAGAAAAAAGTATTTAACTCAACCGCAACCTTCAGATAGCCATCGGACAACCGTTCCATGTTCATCGTTTCTAACCTTTTATGTAAAAAAAACTTAACTCGGGCCTATATATTTGATAGAAATTGATTATTTTATTGGATAAAAAAATCTAGACGAAATAAAGACTTTTCTTAAAGTAGAACGGACATCATATTAACTAGCAGCGCCAGTCCCGCGTTTTGGCATAAGTATCCAGCTAGTGTAAAAATCCATTAAAAGTGGTTTGTTAAAAATTAAATAAGCTCGAGGAAATAAAATCATAATGACCATTGCTAATCCTCACCTTCTTCAAATGTGGGAACAACAGAGAAAAATGAGCTTCACTTTGGTAACAACATCATCAGGTCACAGGGTAAGTTATGCGTTAACTTAACAAAAGATACGCTGAGTACAAATCGTAAGTTTAAATCTTTTCAGCAAACATACCACTAAATGCAGATGTCATGAAGGCTGGGAAGGGACTTTCTGCGACGAATACGTAGGCTGCTCGGCCACTGGATGCGGTTCCGGAGTTTGCAAGTTCTCAAACAACACCCACTCCTTTTGTCAGTGCCCTTCAGGCTATGCTGGAAAAAAGTGCGAACTCCTTCCAGACATCTACATTAGCACCCAATGCTTATCTTCAGGTTTAATTTGCCTCGGCAGGAATTGGCAAAAGAGTACATGTAATGAGGTAATTTTTTCAAAGCTGAAAAACTTCGCTTTCCAAGTCAGTTTTCTAATCATTGTTCCGTCAGCATCCGCATTTTTTAAAATCAAACTTCCACAAAACATGAATTAAAGGAGCGTTGTTGATTTAGAAAGAAGGAGTTATTATTCAGAGACGGAAAGTGTTCGATATTGGTTTCAACCGAAACTTTTCTGAATACGAGGAAGGATTTGGAGACTTTTGCGGGGATGGAGACTTTTGGTTGGGGTTACAGACCATGTACAACCTGACTCGTGAAAGAAGGTGGAATCTACGAATCTCTATGAGAAATTTTTCAAATGACGCTCTCGTCTGGGGCGTTTGGGACGGTATGAGAAAGACTAACAATAAGCTAACCAACAACAGTTTTTAACTGTGATACGTGAAAGTGAAATAAGCTGTGGTATAAAGCGTTTTAGCCTCATTTTTTGTTTAGCTACACTTTGAGAATTCATGGATAATAATTGATTGTAATGGGTTTTTATGGTCTATCTCCATAAAATTCTTAAAAAAATCGATATTAATGGATTAATCATGGATTATAATACCAATAAATTAGGAAACAATTTTATTCCATTATAATGGATTATAACGGATTATAATGGATTATATTGGGTTATAAAAGGTTATAATGGATTATAAAAAATTTTATGAGTCAGAGCTTGGATTATGGTTTTGCAAACCTTAACCAAACAAGAGATTGTTTCAAAAACTGGTAGGCTAAAATACAAATATAATGAAAAACTTTTGGATTATAACGGATTATAATCGATTGCATGGTCTCGATATGTAATTATAAACGATTACTTTGCCAACATTTTGACCACGAAAATAGATTATAATCGACTGTTATCCATAAAATCTCACGGCGAATCTCAAGCATCATAGAGGAATTGTGTTCAACTGACTGTATTTCTGTCTCTTGCCATGGCAATGAGGCAATCATTAGGCACCACGTTCACCGATTCATAAGTTAAGAACAAGGCTCAACGTCGAATATATTTGCCTTGGAATTTTTGTTTTTTTAGGAGCATTTTTTAAAACTTAATTTACTGCCAAGCGAACGGAAAAATAAATCGTTTGATGTATTGCTTCTACTCTTCTACTGCAGGATCATTTTTTTTCGTTTCATCAGATAAGATTTCCTATAAAAGAAAATAGTCAAGGTGCAAATGATCTTCTGCTATTCCATATATGAAAATTGTATGATAAGTATTTATTACATTGGATTTTTTCTTATATTTCGTCGCCTTATCTTTTTTTTGCTCAAATAAGCTTTCTCGAGAAAAGAATCGCATACACGAATTTATTTTTTTGTCTCGAACTTAGTGCAGGCCATACCAAAGAAACAAAACTGACTTTTCATACCAAACAAACAAAATTGAAATTTTAATTGATTTTATATTATAAGATACACTTCAATTTGTTGAAAGAAACGCAGCCTCGAGTTTCGACAACCAAAAAATTTTTGAATGAAAATGTTTCAGCCATTCACAAAAGTTTGTGGTTCTTGCTCATAGTTGTGAGTTAACTTCGAAGAAGTATTCCAAACCCTTTTTACTCAAATGTGGAGTATCTGTGAGGTGTTCCTACAACCAAGATGATTTATTGTGTAAGAAAATCCGTGGTTTTTGTGTGGCGGACGAAAGAATAAAATCATCACCAAAACTCGAAAAACAAAAATAACTTGATTTATGGAAAACTGCAAGTCATATAATTTTTATATATGAAAAAAAATGCTTGTCGTAGAGTCTTTTACATTTTTCTTCATATATGAAATTGTACGAAAGTGTGTTATAAACATTTTGCCGTATATGAAAACTGTATGACAAGCATTTTTGGTCAACCCGCGACATTCGTTAAATTATAATTTTTTATACTTTAATTCTGTGTTCGAGTTTGTTCATTTTTCCGGAAAAAAAGATAGTCAAAAACAGAAAACTAGTATCCTGCTTCATCTTTTTTAACCAGAGATTTCTATAGATTTTTTTTATTTTTTAGACTTCAAGGTTGGGCCTGCTCCCCTTTACACCCTAACATTCGGCACAATGGTGGCAAAGAGTGAGAACATACGCAATACCACTGATAAATCACAAGGCTTTGATTATCACAACGGAATGGCGTTTTCTACTTCTGACAGGGATCAGGACAGTGATGCGAGAAACTGTGCTGCAATGTTCGGAGGAGGTGGTTGGTGGTATAGAGGTTGTTTCAATATGAATTTGAACGGAAACAAATCCACTTCAGACAAAAATGATCAAGATCAAATGGCACATGACGATGGGAGTGGGTATAAAATGATGTCAGCAAGTGAGATGAAAATGGTCCGAGTGACCTGATTAGAGCAATTTAGTTTATTGAAGGGAAATGAGAACTGGATAACATAATTCACTCGATTTCGCAAAATTGTTTTCATACTTATTAGACAAGTATTTTTCAGGAAAAATCAGCGTGTTGTTTTTCTACTCTGAGATGCAAACTGAAATAAATATTGCTTATGATAATTTTAAGCTTTAAAAAGGTTCTTTGTTCCGTATTGTGTTATCTATGCGTTTAAGCAGCTTGGTCGAGTCAAATAATTGTAAGTCAAGGAAGAATAAATTGATTAATAGGTCATTCAGATATATATTTGATTTAAATCTGGGAAAAACCTTCTTTACAGGGAAAATAAAAACAACAAACTACAAACTACAACAAACTTTGACCAGTTTTGATTCAGATACAAGCAAAAAAAAAACCGAGCTAAACAGTTCGGCAATTGTTCTGCTTTGCTATCTCTGTTTGTTTTGAACTAGTATCTTAAAACAGAGCAACTCAGATTCTACATCTTTTAAAAAAATGTTCTATGAGTAAATGTGCCTTTTTTGCGGCAATTCATGAAACTTGCTAATAAATCGGAAGGCAAGGTATTATAATGATTTCATTCAAATTAGAATTAATCAAGTTCTGTTTATATATTTCTTAATTGATGGTATTTTAAGTAGTGTACAGATTTATCCAAAAAATATCATTACAATTGAAGCCCAATGCTAACAACTCTAGCACGAACAAATTTAGAATATTGTTTTTTTTCTACCAAATTTTTGCAAATTTTAAATTTTATAGGCAAAAAACTTGAAAAAAAATAAGATGAAGATGCAGAGGAAAAAAAGTCAAATTATTCCATTAAACAGTGTTTTCAATATTAGGATGCACTTCGATTATAAACGTAAAAAAAGTAACTGCCTGCTGGCAATTTTTGTATAATTAACTCGATCTTCTTAATTTTTTTTGCTAGTTTTAAAAAAAGGAATCTCTGTACGGGAATTTTTTGCAAGTTTGTGTCAAATCTGATTTTGAATAATTTAAAAAAGCTGTTTGGAGAAAAAATTTCCATTTTTTTGAAATTCTTGTCAAAGGTGATTAGAAGAAAACATGTCAAAACTGAATTGAAATCTTTCGTTGTTTGAGTTGTTGTTTGAATAAGCCTCTAGTTGGTTGTTTTTTAGAAGCTTTAAATGTATCTAGCTAGCTTTAATCCCACATTTGCTTTTAAGTGACTTTAGTTTTCTTTTCGCTAGTCAGAAAAACCATACGTTTTGATTAATTTTTTTCGGCAACCAAAGCTTTTTCATTTGTCAAAGGCTAAATCTGAATGGTTAGAAAAAAATTTAGTAGATGAAATCACAATAACTTTGTAATACCTTTCAGGAATCCAATGCACATATTGGTTAAACTTATGAAAATCGGAAAATGAGAGTTAGTAAAAAGAGCTACACCATTTGAACATTTCAAAATGCAGCAATATACTGTACATATGTCTTTGGAGGTCAAAATTATTTTATATTCCGTATATTTGGGGGTTTGCATTTCAAACTTTTCGATCAACTTTTTTTTACTAAATGTTTTTTTTTGGTTTTGTATTGACATAAATTTTTCAGCTTGAATGACTTCGATATATTACCTTGACTACCAAATGTATTGCAGATTTTACAGTATAAACACAAAAACTCAAAAAATTTTCAGGAGTGGGACTCAGAAAAAGGTGATGTCTATATTGAATGTTTTCAATAATCCAACATCTGGAAGTAACAAAATTTAAATCTATCGATGACACCCAATGAGACTAACTTTACTCATGTCCAGGATACCTAATCTTTGCATATCTGTGTTATCGACCTATACTTATCTTCAGAACTTCAAAAAACCAACTATGATGAAAGCCGAACCAAAAAGAAATTCTAACCAGTTTTCGTTGAAGCCCAGATTTTGTTTTACAATTGAGCTGATTTAATGACTCTTATAGCTCTTTTGGTCTTATAATCTTTTAGATGATTTTATTTCGCTCCTGGTATCCGGTTGACTTATTGCCCCGTCTTGATAAAGAGAAAAAAATAAAGGACTTTTCCGCGGCGAAACTTATATCTGTATTCATACGATTATGACGAGATCGCTGATTTAGATAGCGAACTGTTCAACTCCCAGGTAGAAAAATTCATCTGCGGAAACAAAACTTGAAAACAAACTCGCTTTTTTTTCTCATTTCTATTTTCCACTTTGTTGCTAATCTTGTCACGTATAACCAAAGTTAACCCAGGCACAAACTCATATTTGCCGATTACCATTTATAACACCTTATTTTGAGCAGTAATTATTGTACACTAAATGCTTGTAAATTCCCCAGAACAAAACCTTCATCCTACTTATTTTTCAAATACACAATTTGCGAGCTTTTTGCCTTTTAAGTGCTTACACTCATTCGATGATATAACCTTTGGTATTTGATAACATCTAACACTTTATGATGTCGAATTTTATAAAGAGTTCAGTTAAAATATTATCCATCCAATTTTAGAAATTTAGTGAGGAGTTGATATGTTTAACCTTGGTGCAGAAAAAAACTGTGCTCAAATTTTTTTACGTTTCTTTCCCTCGAAGGAGAGAAAAGGAACACTTAGCTAAATTTACTGCAGTTTAAAAGTTCTCCTGCTTTGAGGAATGACGTGATTCCACCTATGTATTTAGTCTACATAGTTAAATTTTTAGTTTAATTGACTTAACTGGTCAATTATTTTTGACCTTGATACTTTCAGTCACTTTTTAGTGTTTTAGTTGTTTCCTTTTGTTTTATAATTGTATATAAGTAGAGCTAGCTGTAACGAAGTACATTTTTATCATGGGGCAGTCGAACAACGAATCTAACGTGAGGAGAAAACCGTCATTATGGCAGAATCACACGATAGACTCACCAATTCCTTGAAAAGAGTGGAGCGATCTTTTTCCTTTAGCTATACTTGCAAAGGAAAACGTAGTTATCGAAAATCTACTGAATCCGATCAAAAGCCATTATCCAAATTCACCTGCACCGAGATCCGACGGAGAACAAATCAGAAAACAGAAGAAAATCACGACCAGAGAGCAATAAGCAAGAGAAGAAATGTTATGACGACGAAGAAGCGGCATCAATCAAAGCAGACATGAAACGATTTAACGGAATGAGAATCGAAGAAGCCGACAGTAAACTTTGCTCAATCCTCTATCTAGCCCTCGGAAACGAAGGGAAAATGATATTGTGACAGAAAATTACATGAGTAAAACTGCTTCAAAGAATTTTGGGACAGCCTAGTATCGGCATTCGTGAGAAAAACAAAGTTCACATATGAAAGGTGCAAAATTCTAAATAGAAGGCAACGCGAAAGAGAGTCATTGGAGCAATTATAGGACGTTTCAGCCAAAATGGCAAAAAATGTGACATATCCGCCGGAGAGGACGAGTGTATGAGCAATATGAAAAACTCAGACATACAGGGAAAACTACTGACGGAAACGGTACTACTTCTGCAGACGCTAAAAGTTGCGTTGATAGACAAAAAGGGGATATCCAAGCATTTCAGATGACTAATATTTTTAAATCTAACGGATCATCCGTACATAACTCGTATAATCATTTTAACACCAAAAGAGAACCAACTCTGAATACCGAACGAAACACCACCTATATGAAATGTGGCTGTAAATTCTCTAAAGGACATCTTGCAGTTTGTCCGACGAAGGACACAACTTTACATCCTGTAAAAAAAGCCATTTTCCCTTCCTTTCCGCTTAGATAGAGGATTGAGTGAAGTTTCTTGTCGACTTATTCGACTCTCATTTCGTATCTGCTTTGGTCGATGCCGCTTCTTCGTCGTTATAACGCTTCTCTTTTTTTTTGCATAATCCTCTCTAGCCGTGCTTTTCACTGGTTTTCCGTTTGGTTCTCCGTCGGATCTCGAATGGAGGTGGATGTGGATGGTGTCTTTCGATCGGATTTAGTAGATTTTCAATATCTACGTTTTCCTTCGCTTGTATAGCTAATGAAAAAAAATTGCTTAACTAAGTAGACTAAATATATAGGTGGAATCACATCATTCCCCAAAGCAGGAAAAATTTTAAATTTCCGTTAAAACAGCAAAATGCTTCTTTTTTTCTCCTTCGAGGGAAAGGAAAGTAAAAACATCACAGTATTTTTCTGCACCAAGATTCATTGGGAAATTAACTAATTAATTTTGCAGCTTCAAACCCAATTTTTAAAAAAAAATTTTATCGAGGCGGTGCAAGAAGCCAACAGGATTCCAGGTGCGAAATAAATTGACCGCTCACCCCCACGACCCTTACCTTAATCCGCCCCTGTGTCTAAAGGAAAATATTGATTCAAAAAACTCAAATTTCACCTATATTTTATCCAGCACAATTTTTGATGCCGAGACCCGGGAACAGCAGACAGAGACGCTCAGAGTAAACACAGTAGTTGGGAAGGTAATCAACGCGAACTCAACGACTCATTCAAATACCGCAGCGCCAGTATATCAACCCTAAAACGGTCAAGTACTCTACTAATTGAATAATCAAATAAGTGTATAGGGAGTTTCTCTAGAATAAGAGCAGGGGCGAAAGAAGACGATTTCAAGAAGCAGTTAGGAGGATGTCCCCTTTGATCAGGTTTTACACCAAAACAAGCAGATAGACAGTTGTCTGGAAGCATGTGTTAGTTGAGCGCCAGGATGGTGATAGTATGCAGTGGACTTTGAAGATGAAGCAAGCCGTTCGAACTGCCACAGGCTTCAGTCGTCAGTCCTTGGGCTAATCTAGATGTTTAGTTCTGTTTGCTGCTTTTCTTTAAAAGTTTAGTGGCTGAGAGTTCCCTCAGTTGGTGTAGGGAGAACTTGTTTATACAATTCGAATACTGAATTAAAAATGATCTATAAATAGATATAATAGAATAATGAATACAGAGTTAATGTTTCCAGATTGAATAAAGATTGTATAGATTCACATGATTGTTTGCAACTAGATTTCACACATCAGGCTTTCGCAACTGGCTGTTTCACATTCTCAAGTGACAAACGATTAGGCTGGT